GTTGTTTTTCTACTCTTTCCTGTCACGTGACTTTAGTTACGTTTTTAATTTTCTCTACATATACGACGACCTGTCTCAAAATCGCTTTTCATTATTTACTCTCTCGATCTTACCGATTCGATTCGACTCGATCAACCAACCGACCAATCGGCAACGCGGAAAAGAGGCAATAATAGATGCGATACATTCGGCTCCAAAACTCGCACTCTCGGTCCAAATGCCCTTTTTTATGTAGGATTCATTTGCCGCGCCAAGGACAAACGGAGAGCAAGGACGTTCCGCGTTTAACTCGAGCCGCGTTTAATTATCAGATATATTTTAATTTTCACGGTTTGTCATTTTACGCGGCGACAAATATTATTCTCCGTTAAAACGACATCCTCGATCTTTAATGTCTTTCCGGCCTTAACGATTAGCACCGGGCAAATCCACCCCGAAAAGTTTGCAGCTTTACCATATCGCCTCTGGCGGCAGAGCTCGTTTCTCGTCACGGCAATCCGGCTAAGTAATTAAAGTACCTAAAGAGCCGACGGGACCGATAGCAATTCGGCTATGCTGGCTGCCCCGAGACGCGTTTTGACATTAATTTCATTGTCGAGAATTCCCAAGACACAACGTGCCTTCTGTCTTCTGTCTTCTGCGAAACGAATAACTCTATTGTTCTTTAGAACTGATAAAAATCACGCTCTAAAATGCGATTTGAAAATATTTTGCGTTTTTGTACAACTTGTTTATTTAAGTATCTTCTTTAATATATGCGTTAGTATTTTGTACATTATTGCATAATATTGTGTGTCTTAAAAATGTGAAAATATGAAAATCGTGCAAAATAACTGTGCAGGTGTTGGAATGGTGCGGCGTGTCTTTGGTCGATCGGAGCTTTGAGGAAGTGCAGCAGATAATCGAACGTACGGACGACGTGGCGGAATTGGTGGTGGAGCATGCGACTGATATGTAAGTCAATGCAAACATGTAGTAATATTAGCGTGTGACAATCACGAACAGACCTAACCGCAAATCAATCTTCTGTGTACTCGCCTCGCGTTTCTCGATCATCGATTTCCACGGACGTCATCGCGTGTAACAGTTCCGGAGACTTGCTGGACGATCCGCAATCCGGTAAAACACCACCGAACATGGGCTTGCTGATGGGTAAGTAATGTCCACCACGCACTAATATATCGCACTATTCGTAAAATATCGATATTACAATATTTACGATATAATCTCGAGTTTTTCTAACTCAAATTTGCAGAAACGGTATGTTAGCGAAATTTATGCACAATCAAATGTTATAACTTGGTGTTTGTATCAATTTTATTTTGCGAACTTATAAACAATGCTGAACGAGAACGCGTTTCAAATTGAGAAAAATTGATGCAAGTAAAATGTTATATTCAGTTTTTCGTAAATTGACTGTCGAAACTCTAGTTATCGATTTTTCACGCCTCAAATACAAATTCTAGAAGACACTCAATCTCACTACCAAATAAAACGCGATAGGAACGTGTCCGCTATCGATCACTTGACAAATCGTTAAAATTGAGAAGAAAAGTTTAAAATGTAACACACAAGTTTCAGGCGCGCGCGCGCATGTCACTCTGGAAATAAATTTCTAGTACGAGATGGCTTTTTCCACGTCGTAAATGTTTCGTTATATTTTAGGAATCGCGAGGACGAAAATGACCGCTGACACAGTTTTTCCGATCTTTGAAGATATACTCGCAAGAGACGCGAAACGAGTATATTCTCGTGCTCTTTAATATTTGATGCATCACTCCCTATATGCATTTGTAAATCGCGTTTTCGCTTGAATTCTCTGGACAATTTTAAGAAGTACGGACAAATACAATTGGAAATAATCAGCTGTTAAACATTGAAATCATCCGCGGTTTAAGATTCAAGAGAATGTAGACAATTTTCTCACAACAATTGTCTGTAGCAAAAAAATATTTAACATTTTTCAATCTACTATTTTCTCTTTTTTTCTCTCTTTCTAGCTTTTCATTTTTTATATAGTAAAATATGTTATAATATATTCCAGAAACTCCACAGATTTTTTTTATAACGCCTTCTAACATCTGAAATTCATCAATATATTTCTCACTGATTTACAATTCTAGAATTTATTGCAGATTCGAAAAACTAAAGTTATTCAACGTTCATTCTCTCCCAAGCGCGTGTGTAACACAATATATAAAAAAAGCAAACTCTAACAATCTTTTCTCCCATCACAGCTTGTCGTCATAGTCATCCGCGGAAACGAATATCGTTGTACTTGAGCGAGCGTTCACTGATACGATGCATGTTGAAATATTTGTTTGCAGAAACCGAAACGGAGAAAACGCCCTCGTCGCCGACGCGCAGGAAACTGCCAAAGACGCCGGTATAACGAGTTGATAAATTAACACTTACACACATTGACCGTCTCTCTCTTTCTGTCTTTCTCTCATTATCCTACACGATGTACACGATGTATATGCAGACTCGGGGATAAGCACGCTTAGAAGCCGAGAAAATTAAGAGAGCGAAATAAAAAGAAAGAGAAAAAACGCAGAGGACAGCCGAAACGGGGAAAGAAAACAAAAACAAACAGGCGTCCTCTCGCGAAAATCTTCTCTTTGCTTTTTTGTATATAATAATATATACGTGTAATTCTCACATACTTAGGCGTACACATAAACATATAGATATGTATAAACTGATGATGCACACGTGGAAACGACGACTATATACAAACAGGCGTGACATGTGACGTGTGTGGACGAGTGTGTGTGACCGCGGCTTTCAACGTGCAAATCAGTTAAAGTGAGCGAACTGCGTTATGTGCCAAATAAAGCAAAGTCACAGAAACGTTCTCGATGTAATCCGCAATCGCGAAGAGTCGAAATGCTCACAGATCGAATTTGATTGCCAGGGAAATTTAGTCACAGTAAGACTGATTTACATTTCTGTCTAAAAATAAGAATTGAGTTGCTTTCGAAATTCTATCTATCTATCTCTGTCTCTTTCTCTCTCTCTCTCTCTCTCTTTCTCTCTCTCTATGGAAGTCTCACAAATGACAATCTTATCCGCGTTGCTTAGTTGGCGGTGCTTAAGAAAAGCTGACTGAAGTCAAGAGCATTCCCGACCGAGAGCGCGCGTTCTCCGCGAAAAGTAAGACCGCTCCAAAATCACGCGCGCGGTACAGCTTTTTTTTTTTTTTTTATTCTCCTCATGTACACGAAGCGGCACAATCGCGCATTTTCACTGATCGTGCGCGCAAAAATGGTTACATGTAAATATTGTATGTATATATAAGTAATGTAACACGAAAGAGAGGTATATGTACATATACATATGTAATGTGGGTGTCCTTCTTGCGCCCTGACACGAAATATATAAGTGTATTCTTGTTGTCGCGGTCGCTTCAGATAAGCTGCGAAGATACAGTATTATTGATGATTAAGAGGATAAGTTTGTCTATACACACAGCACAGAACGGGGAGACACACACACACACACACACACGCAAATGAAGAGATTAACGTAGAAAACTACTCTCTTAAGCGTGGGTTTTTAGGAATTCAGTAATTTTAGAAGAAAAAACTGTGAGGTAAAAATCCAGCTATGTTGATTATGTATAACACGTAGGAACAAGCAGTAGTTTTCGGTCACTAGATGTTATCTCGAGCTTGCATTTTAGAGTTTGTGACAAAAAAAAAAAAAAAAAAAAAAAAAAGAGTGTAGCAAAAGCTGTTGTAGAGAAAGCTCTCTCTGAAATTTAGGAAAAATACAGATACGAGATTATCGCTTGCGTGTTGTACGATATTATTTGGAGAGAAATTATACAGCAAACAAGCATGAAAAAAATTCGCACTTGTGAAATAAATATAACAGTTTTTACGTATTTTCGATGCTACGTTTAATATATATTATAATTGATTTTCCAACTATTTCGAATTTTTTTTTCTTTTTAATGAATTACCGAGGCAATATCAGAATATATAGTTTGGTGGAAATCAACAGTAGATCGTCCAAAAAATATTTCATTCTCGTCGTATCGCGCATTATTTTCGCGCACTCGATACGCGGAATGCGCCCGCATGGATCACGGAAAATTTACTGCCGACTGCTTTTACATTTTATTCTTTTCATTTTTTTTTGTTTTTTTGTTATTTCTATTTATTTTCGTCGGACTTTTTAAGATGTTTGCAAATTCTCCGATTAGTATCTTATCAGACGCGAGAGTTTTAGTCAGAAGGTGAGCGAAATTGTTAGTGGAATTCCTATCGCTCGCGCCTAGCGGTCGTAAAATTTCCTCGAGCTGTCAGATAAAGTTTACAAACAAGACTGTGTTGTAGTTAGTAAAAAAACCCTCAGCAATGTTCGCGCGATTTGCCAGGTTTAACCAGTGCCGTGAATATCCGATAACGCTCTGTTGCAGCGCTCCAAGATACATATATACATATAGTGTTATCGGTATGCGTGCTGCTTTCCAATCGATAGTGGCGGTCTCGAAACCGTTCGAATACTCGAACAATATGCGGGAGATATTTTTGAAAAATATGCCGCGTTCGATTGTCGTAATTATTTCATTGAATTGTACTCGTGCATTAAATAATACACATCGGATCGTTTACATTTAAAAGCCACCCGCTCGTGCACGTTATCCGCACGTATCGCTGAAGAAAAATTACGCGTTGGCGTTATTTAATTATACAAGATTTGAAAAATCGAAAAAAAAAAAACAAACAAAACTGCTCGCATAGAGAAAAAAACAAAACCTGTTTACAAAGCTTCGAGTCGATATAATATAATACACATAGAATATTATTCAATAAATACATTATACAAAAAAGTAAGACTACCAAAGCGAAATAGAATAAAATATTTCTGTTGGTGTTTTTACATTTATTCATGTCTTTATGTATTGAAACAAATATTTAAATGTAACAAAATATAGTACGTATAAAAGTTTCGAACACATGTATATGTATATATATATATATATATAAAAGTAACGGCACTGGTTTCTACCGATTGATATTGATCGTAGGATATATATTGACGCGACTTATCGAGGGCAACTTTATAAATTTGTTATAGTAACGTTATATATGAAATCCTCTTTAGATCATACAGCAGCATTCGTACAATCACTATGGCAGAAATGCGCGTTACGGTGTACGCCACGTTCGTTTTTCCTTCGATTCAATCACACGGGGGTGTTCTTCACGTATACGGAATAAAAATTGATATTTGATTGAAAATTTAAAAAGTCGACATATTAAAGAAAAATAAAATAGAATATTTCTAATAATTACAAAGAAAAGATGAAAATTTTATATCTCGTTGTTGAAACAAATATATGTGCGAATGCAGAATGTTGTATATTGTTGCATTCTTGCTGTTATTGGGTGCTTTCCAGCTACGTACACAGGCGACGCTGTGTTACACAGCGTCGCCTGTGTACGTAGCTGGAAAGCACCTAATATTAATGTTATTGTAAATAATACATGATATTATTTATACCAATAAGTACCTGTGAAAAATTTTTCATCAAAGCGCTAACTCCGTTCGCGAGGAAATAAATATTTTGACGTGAATATTATTGGTGATCAAAATTCCGGAATATATTCCGACTATCGAGAATCTCTTTTTTCTCCTACTTTCTCTATTTCTCTCTCTCTCTCTCTCTCTCTTTTTGTCGAGCGTGATTAACAGGAAATTTCGTACGCTACCGAGACCTGTCGCACGTTTTAAAGTGATTTAATCTATTAGCATCTAGAGAAGAGCGCCGGCCGTCGCATTTCGCACAGGTCGTTAATTCGATCGTTTATCGTTTGCGTCGTCGGTTCATTTCGATGTACCGGCTATTCTATCGGTCCTCCCGATTAATTATCGCAATCAAGCGCGAACGAATCGGTCGTGTGTAATTACGTCGATTACTCTCGAGCTTACGAACACCTCCGTCCGTCCGGATTTTCACATACACACGTGGCGGGAGAAACAACAAACATCTACGCGACACCGCAACGAATTTCTGTTTGAAAGAAAAGAAAAGCTTTCGTACAATCAATGGTAGAAAACCGCCGTGTGAGCAGCGCGCTCATGTCGCTTCCGAGAATTTTTATCAAAGTCGGATCGTTATTTGTGTTTTTNTTTTTTTTTTTTTTTTTTTTGTAAGAATTGTTTTTAACAACGGATTGACAATATCAAACGTATTTGTTATATACGATAAATTTAACGTTAAATTAAACCTTCCTTATTCTTTCTGAATTAATAAAAACAATTAATCTTTATTAATCGATTGATTGCTTTTGTCTCGAGACAGCGAGCGAGCGAAGGCAACAACTCGCACGGCTCCTAGATTTTTAAAACACGAGCTTTGAAACGTAGAGGCGATTGTAAAGCGCGGAGACAACACGTACAGGTGTGGATACTGGAATTTAGCACACTATTGCAAATTGTAGATGTATACTGGATGTTTTGATATATATATAAAAAAAAAATACTCTTACGAAAAATTATTAAGAGTTGAATCGACGTAAATCTGCGATGTGTATAATAAAGCGGACACCGCTAAGTCAAAAATCGGCCTAGTAAGTTACGTAAATATTTTCTACCGCTAAGAGAATCAAAATTACCAAGTGTTTGTTTTTAATTTTCCGCGCTTTATACCGCGCGCAAGAAAATTGTCGCTCTTTTATAATTTTCAACCAATTTTAGAAGAACTCTCTTGATCAAGAGACTCAAAAACTAGGCTCGCTCACGTTTTGACTTCACTGTGTGTCGCTTGTAATAATAAAACAATTGACGCGGATCTAGACATATGTCGCACGGCACAACAATCAAGCCAAAAAGTAAACTATTGGCCTTGTAAATACCACTTGATCGACGGATTAGAGAACTCTTTGTTATATGGATCATTCTATCTCGCGGAAAAGTTTTTCAGGTGAATTCAATAGGCGTATAAAGCTTGTTCAAACATCAGATAAATGCATATATCTGATACGCGAGGCATTATTTGCAATACAAACAAGTGGCTGTAACGTGACACAAAGTTGATTCTCTCTTTCTATTTTTCAAAAACACATGTATCGATTCGCGCTTTAAATTGTCCACGCACAATTTTGACTTTTTAACGCGTATAAAATCTGTTATTAAGACTTTCAAATTGTTTTGAGTGTAAATCGTTGTGTTTAAACGTGTTAATTAAATTTAAAATCAAATTACATTAGGCACATCACAATTGTTCGTCGGAACATCGCCAATGTTCCAACACAGAGATAGACGCAGTTCGCGCACGCAACGTGCGAACGATTTTCTGAATCGGTGCTTCCTCCGTATTAAATATATGCATAATTTCTCTCGGACAAGCCGTGTATTGAATAAACACATATA